TTTTTTCTTTCCGCATGCCGTTAGTACCATCCCGGAGCATGCTTTGCCGCAACCGACCACACGAAAGGCCTATGCAAAGACGAGCACCGGACGTGGTACACAAAAGGTTGCCCAACCCGATTCGGCATTTTTGCGGTCTTGCTTCTCGGGATGTACATTGTGTCATACTCGCCCGGGATGGGGACCGCTCCGTGGATCGTGAACTCGGAGATCTACCCGTTGAGGTACCGAGGGGTCGGTGGAGGGATTGCGGCCGTCGCCAACTGGGTCTCGAATCTTATAGTGAGCGAGACGTTCTTGACGCTCACGGAGGCAGTGGGTTCTTCCGGAACTTTCCTATTGTTCGCCGGATTCTCGGCCGGCGGGCTGCTCGGGATCTATTTCCTCGTGCCGGAGACGAAGGGTTTGCAGTTTGAGGAGGTGGAGAGGATGCTTGAGAAAGGGTTTAGGCCAGGGATTTGTGGTGGTGGTTCAGAGGTGGAGAAAGGTAGCGGTGATTCTAAATGATGAGATTTTTGTTGAACTTTTAAAGACAATGGTTGTTATATGGGGAATTTAATGATTTGGAAATTAATAATTGTGTTTATTATTATTATTATTATTATTATTATTATTATTATTATTATTATTATTATTATTATTATTGTTGTTTCTTTTGCTTTTGCGAAAGCTAGACAAGAAACTTGCTGCCAGCTAAAGCAATAAAAAAACTATATAAAGGCAATAAACTCATGATAAGATTGCTTTTACATGGTGAAATTAAGATACATAGTACTGGTCCAGCAAAGGTTTTTGTGGGGGACTAGTTCATTTTTTTGGACTTTATGAGCTGCAAAATCATTTAAGTTGTGATAAATATGTTATCATTTTTTTATTTTCTAATAAAAAAAGGGTAAGATTTCTGGTTTGTGTATAATTGTTTAGAGATAATTTGTTTTTTGCTTGCTAAAACTAGTGAATTTTGTCACTACTAAGTATTAAAGAACTTATACCTGAGTTCATATTACCCAATTGAGAATTTGATGTAGGGAATGTTGATATCCGAGTTAGCCAGGAACGAACCAGAAGACATCGCCTACCAAGACCCGGGCTTAGGATCCGGTCTGAAGTCTAAGTGCCGAGCGAGAAATAAAGTGCACAGGATCTCCATGGGTGTAATTTCCGAGGCCGGCACCCCGGCTCGATGTATGTATGCGCCGGGCTTTATGGGTGCCGGGCTAGAGAATGGATCCGGGACGCCCTGTGAGTACATTCGAGAAAAGTGCCGACTAGAAGGTCTGAGGTGGCCACTCCGGAGGCCATGGCGGGGCTCGGCGAACATTAAAATATCCTCACTTGGAAGGTCATCATTGGACGATGGGACGGGCTGTCATAGTCTGACAGCCTACAAGCAGGTCTAAACAAGAAAAGCCTGCCAGCATTAAATGTCGTCATGCCTGCATTAAATGTCTGACAGGCAATGATTGAAGAAACCTCAAATCGCATTAAATGAACATCAGGGAGACGCTGAACTGCTCTGCAAGCTTACTGTGCGACAAGACCGGTGAACAATAGCTGAACAGTATTTCATTTAAGGATACTATAAATAGCAGCTCATTTCGTTTATTTTGGGTTGTTGAATCTCAACTAACTCTGCTTTCTCTCTCCAAAAACTGTAAGAAATATCCTGTAAGAATTGTAAGTATATATCGCAAGTGCCGACCTCGTACGAGAGACCGACCTCGTGATCGTTTAATAAAATCGTAATTAAACTATATCTTTCCTTTGTTTCTAGTCTTGCATTTTTACTAATTACTATTTTAACCATTGACCGAAAACACTCGTCAATAGAGAAAGTTACGAGTGAGATGATATTAATGAGACTGCAATCTCAATAATATCTAAACATCAATATCAAATTATTTTTTATTCATAATCAACCTCCTAATATAATATATATGACTCGTAAATCCTATTCTTAAATAATAATATTTAATTCTTAAGTTATTCTCCATAGGGGGTGTCTATATGTACACCCCCTTGTGTGTAAAAAAGGGGTGTACATATAGCATTGCCCTTTGTGTAATTTATTAAAAAGGGGTGTACATATAACATTGCCCTTCTCCATAATACAAAAATCATTATTAGTGCTTCAATTATGTGAGACACAGGAGCAATTATCCCTTTTCCACATTATTTTTTAATTTATTCCAATAAAAAATAAAAATAAAAAATAAAAAAAATCCACCGACTCAAGATTTCAAAATCACCCGTGCTTATGTTTTTTATCATACTCCACGTGGTGGTTAATTTAATAATATATGATCTGAAGTTTCTTATGTTTTTTTCTTTTTTCAAAAAAAAAACATAGTGCAAATTTTTTTTAGAGGGATTTTCTGGTTTTCGGACCACAAGGGAACCGACTAATCCGGAATCGAGTCGGGTAGAACTACAAGGGCGGCAAAGCTCTTCCTCAAAAGTTTTTAACACCATTGCATTATCAGGGCTCGAACACGAGACCACTGATTAAGCTGGAAGAGACACAAGTCATCTCATCCAAGTCGATATTGGATATAGTGCAATTATTTGAATATGGTACTATTGCTTTAATGGCCTGATTGTTTATTTTATTTATTTTTAGGGTTGTGCAGTTAAA